ATGGAGTATGGAGTGTAAAGTGTAGAGTGTAAAGTGTAGAGTGTAAAGTGTGGAGTGTAAAATATGGAGTGTAAAGTGTGCAGTGTGGAGTGTGGAGTGTAGAGTGTAGAGTGTGGAGTATAAAGATTAGAGTGTAAAGTGTGGAGTGTAGAGTGTAGAGTGCTGAATGCAAAGTGTAAAGTGTAGAGTGTAAAGTGTTAAGTGTGGAGTGTAGAATGTGGAGTGTAAAGTGTAAAGTGTGGAGTGTGGAGTGTAAAGTATAGAGTGTAGAGTGTTAAGTGTAGTGTGGAGTGTAAAGTGTGAAGTGTAGAGTATGGAGTGTAGAGTGTAGAGTGTGGAGTGTGAAGTGTAGAGTGTAATGTGTGGAGTGTAAAGTGTAAAGTGTGGAGTGTAAAGTGTGGAGTGTAGAGTGTAAAATATAGAATATTCAATGAGGAATGTAGAATGTTGAGTGCAAAGTGCAAAATATAAGAGTGTAAAGTATTGAGTGCAAAATACAAAAGTGTAGAGTGTAGTGGAATGTTGAGTATAGAATGTGGGTGTAAAGTGTAGAGTGTAAAGTATAAAATAGGAAATAAAAAAAATGGGGAATATAAAATATAGAATGTATTGTATAAAATGTAAAAAACAAAAAATAATAAATTATCGAATAGAAATTATAAAATAAATAATTATTATCTTTAATTATTATATATAATATATATTATCTATATTGTATATATTATATATATTATCTATATTATCTATATTTTCTATATTATCTATATTATTTATATTATCTATATTATCTATATTAGATATATAATATATATAATATATATATAATATATATATAATATATATATAATATAATATATAATATATAATATATATAATATATATAATATATATAATATATATAATATATATAATATATATAATATATATAATATATATTATATATATAATATATATAATATATATATATAATATATAATATATAATATAATATATAATATATAATATATAATATATAATATATATAATATAGATAATATATATAATATATATAATATATATAATATATATAATATATATAATATAGATAATATATATAATATATTATATAAAAAAACACATAAAAACACTACTAGGAAGGTGTGAAGATCGAAAAGGACGCATCAACATCGGAGCCTATATTGCAACTACTAAGAGCAACGAAATAGGGAGTGCAGTTCAAATACACCACGCAAACGAAAGGCGCTCACAAAGCACGCCAGTTCGAGTGACATTGCAATTGCAGCTGCTCCAATTGGCCACGCAGCATCTGCGTCCTTTCCTCATACAGCGCTTTCAACCTTTCCTTCTCCTCATGCGCTGCGTCCAGACGTCGCTCCAGCTCTCTTCCTTGCGATGTGCGGACCAGGATCGAGTTGGAGCAAGAAGGAACAAGGTGTAACAAGCACCCAAACAAGATCAAACAAGCAGTATCTAAAAATATCTGACATATCGAAGGAGACTTTCCACTTGAGGCCTGATGTCTTTGGCCATGCTTCAAGCCCATGAAAATCCAAGATGAGAGCAAGATGTTTTGTTTGCCTTGAAATGACAGGACAGAAATGTGATATAACACAATCCCCGACTCAGCTCGGAAATGAAGTACTGGCAAGGTTCGTGACTCTTCCAGCTCCTTCTGAAAGATCTCCTTGCTGACACCAAGTTTTTCACTGAACACTGCTGCCATCATGGACGTGTCTGGAGTCGAATAGCGGACTTTAATCTCGGGCAGATTTGCGATTGCCTTTCGAAGCTCTTCATAATCGTCTTTTGCAGTGGTCACGAATGTGCCTGGGGTCTTGGTGTGCTTGGAGGAAGCCCCCAGCCCCAAACCATAAGACACTTATTCCTGAAGATGCTTTGCCACGTGGGATGGGGTTGGGTTTGCAAGTGCGCAGCCCACGTCTGGTCCAGCTTTCAGTTTCTTATGCTAGCGAAAACATGTGAAAACCATTGAAAACCACAAGCAAGCCCAAGAAGCTTTGAAAACAAGTGAAAGCGATGCAACAAGGATTCTTTCGCTGCAGAAATGCTTCAGGGGAAGATGAATCGAGATCACAATCACCATATGCAATTGACCAAGCTTCCTAAGATGCCAAATCTTCCAGCACAATGGGTGACTGGTACAGAAACAACCTTCAGACATCTTCAGAAATCCCAACCGCTGCGCCATTGCCTCTTCTATTCGGGGCCATGGCAAAGAACTGCGCAGCGATACCAACCGGCTGCCCGTCCTCATCGACGCGATCTGTGCCAAAGAGTTCGAGCTCTTCTGGAGTGGCACGGTCACGTTTCGTACCCACCAGGATGATGTTCTCCCACTTGTCCTCCTAGGGATCTTGAAGCAACAAAAGGATAGAAAAGGATACAAAAGGGATCAAAAGGATACAAAATACAAAAGGATGAATAAATTGTTGTCTTGCACTTTCTCAAATATCTCAAATATCTTAAATAGAAACCTAACGAAAGGTTCACGAGCACACTTGAGGCTCCACCAAAGTGTTCATGTCATTCCTCCGTAGAAAATTAGTTTGGGAATGACAAACAACATCGAAAAACATCGAAATCAGTTGAAACCATTCTACAGCATCCGCTTCTAGATGTTTCTCTATCAGTAAACAGGCCGCAATGCATCTGAGTCTCGCCCAAAAAGCCGTGTTCTACCAACA